ATCCATCCATCCATCCATCCATCCATCCATCCATCCATCCATCCATCCATCCATCCAAATTGTAATATTTTGGGTCATAACCATAAAAAGGGACATTTCAGTTAATTTTGCACTTGCTTTTTTGTGACGGTGTGGAGACCATGTCACACCCTGTCTGCACAGTGTGTAAGACAGGGACTGATTGGAGAGGCATGTGCTAAACAGACATGTTGTTCTCTGTGCTCTAAACCTCAGTGTGTGGAGGCCCTGGAGAGTCACAAGCTTATTAGAGGGTAATTGGAGCACAATAACAAGTGAACAGCTGACCACTCACTGCTGGATGCGGTACTGGCAGTTTAACTACGAGACATCACATCAGAGTAGCATTTTTAGTCTCTTTGGACACTCTCTTATTAATTTTTAATCCAAGTCAGTCCAAGCATCTGATGGTCCTAAATTTGTGCAGAGTGATCCCCAAATGGGTCCAGTCAGAGTTGTTATAAAGTATTCTGAGTTGCAATAAGAACCAGGGGTCCTGATCGGGATGGTCTCAGATAAATCAGCATCTCAGCTCCATAGTCGGTCAAGAATACATGGAGACAAAGAAGGCAGCGAGATACCTGCATAAATAAAGCAAATTAGGCAAGAAAGGTGCTCAAAACAGTCTAGCTCCAAAGTTAATGTCCGCAATCTACAAATGTACTGAGAAGCATTGATGCTGTAGAGTTCTTATACAAACCATTTTTGCTTTAGGGTGCCATACTTTATGACACGCTCAGAAAAACAGTCTTCCTTTAAATCTTCTTTAGATTTCCTTATGAGATTTATTTCTGTGAAAACTCTGAATATTCAACTATTTTTGGTGTAATTGAAATGATTTTTACTTGTAACCCTGACACATTATAGATCTGCTATGAAAACTAATCATGGCAACGGAAACGCTGTTTGACAGTGAGAGTGACTAATTAAGCTTGCGTTATTGTTTGTCCAACATAGATTTAGGTAACCTAACTAACAGCCTCCACGTCAGCCAAAAGCTCAAGTGCTACGCTGACCGACATAAACACGTTATTTCCGGTCACTGACGTTTCAGAATAACTCCACGAAAGTGTTTAAAGACTTAATCCGTTGGAGAAGAAGAATCATGTATAAACAACAAATAAACCGTTGTCTGTAGGCTAAAATCCACTCCGTCGGTGGCAATAGGCAAGTATGAAAGGCTAATAATATATATTTTTCTCTTTAATATTTAATGCATGACCCAGTTTTGGTGGATGAGTTCGGTCCAAAGTGCGAGTGTTTTACAAAGCGAAAACAGGTCGAGTTGTTGAATTTTTAGGGACTAATATAACTTAGAAGGTATGGAAGGCCATAACTGAATCCTTGGCGATATAAACACGATAATACCAGCCTTGGAGATCAAAGTCTCGTGCAAAGTCATTAAAAAAAGATGATACTATACGAAATGTTACTTTGAAAATAAAACCGGAAGTTGTACTATCACTTCCTCACCAGCAGCGGACACACGCATAGCGTTGAGCGAGTATTTGCTTTAAAAAGACCCGGTTATGTGACAGTGATTTGGTAAGAAGGAAAACGCACTTGCTCCTCTGTTAGCGTCCAGAAAAAGGCGGGGGGAGCAGCCGGTACCGAGCAGGTCTGTGGTCCGCTCTCACTTCCGCTTCCCCCTGATGATACAGCCAGGAGCTCCGGGTCGGTGTCGAACCGGGAGGATAATACTCTAAAAGATGAGCCACAAGATAGAGTCCGAATCTGAGCCTCGGTTCTACGGGTTCACCAGGACAGCGTCCACTGTGCTGACCCACGTCGTCTGTATTGGTTTCACCGTATTTATCACACTTCTGTCTCGACCTGGAACAAGTGAGTGGGACTTCACACACTCCCACGTCAGTGTTTTCCCTCTCACATCATTTACTAATTGGACTGCTTTTATCTATTTTTTTTCTCTAGGCTGGTTCTCTTGGCATCCTTTCCTGATGACATTAGCTGTAAGTTGGGTCAAACCTCAATTGTCATTTTTAGAGACACTCTTAGTCAAAACACCCCAAAAATAACCAAAGAGAATCTGCAACTACTTTTAGTAGTACTTTGCCAGAAAGAAACCACATTCTTACACGTCACACTTTCTCAAACATGCCATTTTAACCCCTTTTGAATTGGAGGGAATTGTTGTTTTTTTGTGCCTCCCATATTTTCTTAAGAAGCTGTTCAACTGGAATGGACAACACAAAGAGCAGTGACTCTCCAAGTTGAATTAGATATTCATATATCTGGGACTCAGTTTGAGAACGTTGTAAGAAATGTGGTAAACCATCAATGACAGTTGCTCATGTTGCATTTGTACTGTTTTTTTCTTGCTTTTTCACACAACCAGCGTTCATTAAATATATTTTTTAATGGGGAATAAGACTCAAAAGTATCCATTTCCTCCCCCTTTTCCATCTAGTTTGGATTCTTCATGACAGAAGCGATCCTCCTCTTCTCACCTCAAGGCTCCCCCATCAAGAAGTTAACCCACAAGACCAAGGGTCGCATCCACTGGATCCTGCAGTGCCTGTGCGTGTCCTGTGCAGTCCTCGGCCTGGCTGCCATCTCTTATAACAAACACCTGAACGGTAAACCCCACTTCACCTCCTGGCACGGCTGGCTGGGCCTGCTCACGGTGTGTGTGGTTGGCGTGCAGTCGTTGGCGGCGGTGCCTCTCATTTACCATTCCCTGGCCAAAGGCTGGTCCCTCGCCAAACTGAAGCGCTACCACGCGGCGGCCGGACTCCTCACCTACCTGCTGGGCAGTGGCAGCCTGCTGCTTGGGCTCTGCTCGGCGTGGTTCAGCGCGTCGGTCAGAGAGTCCATCTGGTACCTGGCGGCGCTCTGCCCTGCCCTCTGTGCCCTCATCATCATGAACCAGGTCTCCAGGGCTTACATCGCTAAAAAACGGATGCAGTCCTGATGGAGAGCGTGCTGTGGACAGCGACTGAACGCCAGCGACTGAACACCAGCGATGCCTGGTAGCCCTCTAATTTATATATTTAAAAAAAAGATGGATATCAGTGCTATTTACAAGGAAGTCTGTGCTTTTGAGTCTTACAACATGCTTTTCTAAAGGGTCTTGTCATTCCGGGAAGCATCGGTGAATAAGTGAGACTTTTATGGCCTTTTGATAACGACGCAATCTGGTTACTGTGGACTTTTTCAGATTTCTTTCCAAACATTAACTTGACTTTCAGAATGCAGTTAAGTGAGATACTGAAAATGATTAATGGCGTTGCATTTTAAAATTTTTGTTTGGTTTGAATGCAGAGCAGTGGGATGAGCAATCCGAACCCACTTTAAACCTCTGCATTAGAAGATTAGATACATTTGGTATTGTATCATTTTGTTTTCCCATGTTTGCAAATCCCAAATGACAGTGTATTTTTTGCATCCCGGCTCTTTGAATGTTTTTTTTCATTTTATAATGATATAACAATGAATAAACCACATGTTTATATTAAAGATATTTCTGACTTACATTGAAAGAGAAGTGTTTTATTGTTAAAATAACATAGATAACACAGTCATAGTCTTTTGATTTAGGCTGGACGTTTGAAATTCTTAATGAGTCAGCCGTTAATGGGTTAAAGTGAAAGAAAAAGCTCTTTTTTTTTTTTTTTAAAAACAACTGAATTACAAAATATATTTTACATCATAAATAAGTACATTTCAGACACTGTAACTGAAATAAGGGCCACAACTGTCGCTTTACGAGAAGAAAAGAAGAAAAGTCTACGTTTCTTTTTCTCAGAGAAACAAATAAAAAGTGTCCAACCATTTGAGAAACAGAAATAAAGAACAAAGGGGTCAGTATTTTGTATCTTAGAAGAATCCATCCTTGTTTCAGGCTTCGGCCTGAAACAAACTGATGAAAAGGCTAAAAGAGACACTGAGGGAGACAACATGGTTGTAGCAGCCAGAAAAACTGAAACATGGAGCCCGTAGCGAACAGTAACACAAATATCCTATACCCAGGAGAAGTCAGATGAAAACACATTACAAGAAAAGCAGCCCCATCAGGAATGATTCGTTTCATGTTATCCAGTGTGTTCTAAAGGCCGACGATCACTGCGTTTAGTCTAGTTTTGCCGTGGAGGACAGGCTTTCCTAAAGCTGAAGGCATCATGACATCACAGAAACAGCAAAGACCCTAAACTCACAGAAGGGAAACACCTACACAGACTGCCTGAAAACTACTCTCACTGCTCTGTCTTTGAGTGAAACGCCACCACATAACGCTCTGTAAGGCCACCGCATCACCTGACCTGGTTCTGCCACAGTCCCAGGCAGCTGTACTGAAATATTAACCACATCTTGTATGGTGTACGGTGGCTACATCGGAAAAAGGCTTCATACTCTTTGCCTGCACAGATGGGATGGATTCCATGTTTCAGCAAACCTATGTTGTTTGCAAGCTTCATGATGAAAACAGGATGTAAGAAGTGATGATTGTAATTAATGTGAATGAGACAGTAACAGTACTCCTTGGTTTGAGCTTCTTTTGGCCTTCACATTTGCTGCTTTAAATCACGCTGCTGCCGTGGAGTATAACGCCAGCCGTGTGTCTGAGGAGAGGATGTACTAAACATAAATACTAAGTCTTAGGAACTCAGTCATTTAAGGCTGAAAATGAAAACTGACAGAATAAATCCATGCCCCAGCCCCCCGCGTTGTCAATAACATGAAAAATACATTCATTGAAGTTTCCAGGGAGAAAAACAAGTGATAAAGCTGAAAAGAAATTTGTTTCTCCAGCAGAATAAGTTTATCATCATGATCACTACTGAAATTAACAGTTTCCCTACGGCCAAAATCTACACACTGCACAGTATTGACTTGCAATATGAATAATGATGACTTATATACAAAGTATCAACATGTTGAATTATAGTATCACACATATCTTTTACAGGGGTTGCTACTGTCTATCAAACTGCTAAAGACTAATATGTGCTCCAAAAGCCTAAATTATCTTTCGATAATGATGAGCAGTGAAAGAATTTCTCTAAATAGATATCATAGAGTTTGACAAACACTTAAAAACCCATAGTCCACAGTGAGTTTGTAGTCATGTTATGCAGCTTTCCACTTTAAAGGAAACCACTCAAGACAATGGGAATCAATGTTCACAGGGTGAGTGCAGAAATCTAATGAATGTTTGCACCCAACCGTTTCACAGCAATATATCATGAGAAAATCTGACTAATTACATCATTCCACTTTAGATCTTTACATCTTTAGATCTAAAGCTGGGGCCTTGTGGAAAATTAAAAAAACATGGAGCAGGTGGAGCTGCGTCCTGCAGAATGTTCCCGCTGCTCTGCTGCCCAAGCTGAATAAGTCAGGGTTATTCAGCATTAAGATTTTGTTACTCTGGACTTTGTGCGGTCATTAAGGTACCCGTTGATTCTCTCGTTGGCAGGTGAGAATCAGGACGTTCACTTTAACCAGCTCATCAGGAATGGGAATTCTGATTTATCCCTGAACCGAGCAAAGCACAAAAAGTTAAACATAAAGACATAATTGTCTCCATCACAAACTTTGCCAACTTGATTTGACAGGATCATACTCCACTTTCTATGAGAAACGTCCTAATTGAAACCTTTTTAACCATTGAGGTGTCAGTTATTCGTTTGTATTCAGAGTACTGCACATGAGCTGCAAACATCACATTTTTAGATGTTTGGTGGACTATTGTAAGAAATTTGTGTAATTATTCCCATCCCTAACTGCCTTCAAGTGAAACGGCCTCTCTGGA